AAGACGGGGTTTCTTTGTGTAGCCTTGACTGTCCTCGAACTGGCTCTGTAGACAAGGCTGGCCTCAGACTCAGAGATCTTCTGCCTTTGCCCCAGAGTGCTGTGATTAAAGACATGTGCCACCACTGCCCAACTTAAAACGTTTGTATTTGATGCTTGTCTTTATATTCCAATAAATGATTTTTACTGTCTAAGAAAACCAATAAGTTAAGCATGGTAATGTGCCTGTAATCCCAGCACTTGACAGGTGAAGGCAGATGGATCAGAGTTCAAGGCCAGCCTTGGCTACATAGAAATGATGGAACCAGCCTTGGCTGTTTAAGACCCTGTCTTGGAAACAAACAAGGAATTGCAGTCACCATAGAATGGTGGGAACAGCAAAAGTCCAGTGGAGAAGAAATCAGTCTTTAGGGCTGGAGAGATGGCTCAGAGGTTAAGAGCACTGACTGCTCTTCTAGAGGTCCTGAGTTCAATTCCCAGCAACCACATGGTGGCTCACAACCATCCATTATGAGATCTGGTGCCCTCTTCTGGTGTGCAGATATACATAGAAGCAGAATGTTGTATACATAATAAATAAATACAATCTTTAAAAAAAAAAAGAAATCAGATTTTAGGCTAGTCAAGCATGGGCTCGGTCGTGTAATGTGGAAGACTGTCGTGTTTCATGGAAACACTTTCTCTGATCTTTGGAACGCTGCTGTGTCCCCTGACTGTGGTGGCAAAGGTCTCCTGTTCCCATTCTGGGCTTACTTGATCTAAGAACAAGTGCAATTGAGGCTAGGTGCTATCTAGCTAAAACTGACCCTCCCACCCACTTTTAAATAACATTAGTCACAAACGAAGGTCCTAGAGGAAAAAACTCACAGCTTCTGGGAAAGATGGCTCAGGTGGTAAGACGCTTGCTGTGCAAGCTTGGGGACCTGAGTTCAAGCCCAGAACCCACTGGATAAGTGAGGGGCCTGAAATTCCTGTGCTGGGGAAGTGAGCACTGGGTTCAGCGGAGAGACTCTGCCTCAAGAAACAAGGTGGGGAGCAATGGAGGAGGACAGCGGATGAACCCAAGGGCCACACATGCATACGCTCATACATACCGCATGAACCCCCCATCAAGTGAGCACTCACACACACACACACACACACACACACACACACAAAAGCTCCCTCCCACACACTACACACTACAAAGTCAGACCAACAGACTTTGTAACTAAGTAACCCATGGATCAAAGAAAAAAGATAGCAACAAGTAAATTACAAAATGTTTTTATTTTCATTAAAATAAAGGGCCACAGATGAGGCTCAGCAGTAAAGGAGCTTACCACCAAGCCTGGTGACCTGAGTTTGATCCCTGGGCCCCACAAAGTGGTGGAAGAAGATAACGCCTTGTGCACTCTGTCCTCTGATCTGCACCCACGTGCAGACACACACACACACACACACACACACACACACACACACACACACGAGATTAAATAACTGTGACAAAGAAATCCCTTTTAAACAGAAAAGAGAAATACCGCTAAAAATAGGCTACAGGAAGCGACATTGGGTTGGTTTGTATTGGCTCGTGGGAAGATCTTCGAGTCTCTTACCAAATTTATGTTTTGTAATTTCACAATGACATCTTTAAATCCACCAGGGTAGGGATATTTACACCACAGAATGAAGTAATGTAAATGGAGTCAAGAGCAGTTGTGCGCACTTGTAGCCCCAGAACTCCAGAGGCTGGAGACAGGAAGATCGGGAGTTCAAGGCCAGCCTCTGCTATCCAGTGAAATATAAGGTCAGTCTGGGCTCCAGGGTTTGTAAATGCATTAAATGGTGATTGTTTTATTTTATTTTAGTCTTCTGAGAGCTAGATAGTGAACACTGACCAGGGTAGACTGCAGGCAAATGAGCAATGCTTTAAGGTCAGCGTATTTCAGATAAGAAGGACAGATGAGCTGGCTCAGCGGATAAAGGTGCTTACCACCAAGCCTGACAACCTGAGTTCGATCCCTGTAACCCCTCCCACCCATGGTGGAAGGAGAGAAGTGACTCCTACAAGTTGTCCTCAGAAGCCCCACACACACTGCAGAATGTTCGAGCACAAATAACAAGTAAACAAATGGACGAATACATAAATATAAGAAAATTTTAAAAAAGAAAAGAAAGATCTAAGGTCAATAATCTAAGTTTTCATCTCAAGAAACTCAAAGAAGGGCAAACGAAATCCAAATTAAGCCTGGTTGGAGGTACATACTGTAACACCTGAAACTTTTGAAGCTGAGGCAGGAGACTTCTACGCTCAGACCTGGATAACATTCTGAATCTCATGCTAGACTGGGCTAAGAATGGGAAAAAAGTAAGGAAAGGGGAGGGGAGAGACAGAAGGAAGGGGAAGAGAGGGGAGAGGGAAAATGGGGAAAGGAGAAGGAGGGAAAAAGGAAAGTGAAGATCAGAAAGGAAAAATTGGGAAGTCTGTGTGAGCCTGCCACCTGACCCATCCAAGGGGCTTCTAAGGAACACCCCTTCTTTATCTTCACCCTTTATCAGTAAATAAGATTTGGGGTGGCTCTGGAAGGGATGCTGGGGGGATCACAAGCTACAAGGTAAAACCATGGCTCACAAGGCTTGCACAAGGGACTGAGACACAGTTTACAGTACAAGCGCCTGCTATGATTTCTGCTGATTACAGGCTGGCTAGGAGAGGAGAGAGTCTGTACTGGGTCCTTTTTTTTTTTTTTTTAGGTCTTAAGCCAAGTTCATTGCTATGCTAACACATTTTAAAAGTTTAACTTGGAACGGAGCAGTGGTGGCACATGCCTTTAATCCCAGTACTCGGGAGGCAGAGGCAGGCGGATCTTTGTGAGTTCAAGGCCAGCCTTGTCTACAGAGTGAGTTGTTATTACACAGAGAAAACCTGTGTCGAAAAACAAAATGAAACAAAACAAATTTAAGTAGATTACTAATGTGTGTAGGCACACAAGTGTCATGCCTAGGAGTGGGTCTGAGAGCTGGGAGTCGATTCCCTCCCTCTACCACGTGGGATCTGGGAATTGAACTCAAGTCCCTGGGCTTGGTGACATCTCGATAGCCCCTTTTCAAACACAGTTATTTGAAATAAACCTAGCTACAAGGATGGTCTTTGAGTTGGTGACCTTCACAGAACAGGTATTAGTTCTTCTGGAATTCTTGCTTCTCAGCTGGCAAGAGGCTTGGGAGTGAGCAACCCCTTTCCTGGCCCATGCTCTGAAGTCCACATCCTTTCCTGTTTGTCTGGCTCTCATGGATCTCAGGCCAGCCAGGAATTCTCTGTATACTAAGTATGACTTTGAACTCCTGATCTTCCAGCCTCCATCTCCTGAGTGCTGGGTTATGGGTGCGTACTGCCACAACTGGTTTATGAGGTGCTGGGGTGGAATCCAGGGCCTCATGCATGGTAGGCAATCACCCTACAGACTGAGCCACATCCCCAGTCCGTCCATCCCCATATGTAATTCCTTTTTCTTTCTATGCTCTCTGACTTCTCCAGGTCTCCCCTTAAGAGTAATTTTTTTGAGCCTCAATATCAAAATTCAAAGTGTGGTACCAACACTTGGGAGGCTGAGGCAGAAGGATCTTGAATTTGAGGCTAGCCTAGGCTATGCAGCAAGACTGTGTCTAAATAAAAAGAAAAACCAACATGAGTACAGTTTCAACTGAATGTGTTGCTTTTACATTGTCATGAGCAGAACACTGGGGGTGGGGAGGGGGAGTAGAACCAGTGTCAACTATCTTAAGTCAGGTACCACCTGAATGATTTCCTGTCCTCCTTTTGATTGGCTATCAGCCTGTGGCATCCAACGATGTCAGTCAGTCCCTCCCTCTACAACCTCACCGGCCATGGTTCACAATATCCCCTACGCACACATCATCCAACACCACCCCCCCCCAGCCACTCTGGGCGGCTTTGTGATCCTTTTCTCCACACAGGGGCTCCAGTAGCTCCCATAGATAGGCCTTTAAACTTCCTAAGTAGCTGAGGCTAGCATCAAACCTCTGCTCTTCGCGCCCCACTTCCCAAGTGCTGGGGTTACAGCCTATCACACCTGGCTGAGGATTTGGACCCCCCTGCGCCACACACACACTTGCTGCTCTCAAAAAGCCCTTGCCCCGGAACCCCAAAGCTCTGAGACCTCAAACACATCTCTAGATAGAGCCTCCTCCAGGAAGCCTGC